CCACCGGGATGACATAAGGTTTCGCGGCCTTCCCCCCCAGCTGGCGCTCCAGCTGGGCGGTCAGGGCGCGGGAGCCGGCGGCCGCGTACTCCTCCTTGGTCACGGTGTGGATGTGGGCGCCCACCAGCCGCTCCACCAGCAGGTTCCCCACCAGCCCCGGGTCGGAGTCCGCCGCCAGGCGGGAGGTGCGCAGAATGAGGTGGGAGTCCAGGCCGCAGTAGCGCGCCGCCACCGCCGTGGCCCGTGCATGGTTGCTCTGGGGTGAGTGTGAGGGTTTTTTTTTTTGGGGGGGGGGGCGGCATGGATGATAGGTCAGTTCCCCCTGAGTGCAGCATTCATTGCAGCGGTGCACATGCTTGCCGGCAGAGGTATCCGACCCCTGCCATGTGGACAAATGACGTCACGGCCTCCAGCAGGGCATGCGCAGCAGTCACAGCGCCCGTGTGCCGTTACTCGGCACCACCCCTGCACAGCGCCGCCTTCTTGCCCAGTCAAACCTGGATGCCGCCGATGGTGATGACAGAGTCGTGGCCCTCCGCCTTGGCCTTGGCCAGCAGGAACTCGAGCTTTCGGACCTGGTGCGGCCAGGCTCGGAATGAGGAAAGATGAGCGCAGGCGCCGTTGCGCAGCGCCAGCCCGCTTCCTCCACGCCCCACCCCGCCCACTCCACGCACGCGAGCGCACCTTGTTGCCGCTAAGCTGCATGCCCGTCAGGTCGTCTCGCTTGATGAAGAGCTCGAGGCCTGGCGGCAGGCCCGGCAGGGGCCAGGGATGCAGGAGGCTGGGCGTCACTGCAAGGCGCAGGCGCTGGGTGGGCGGGTTGGGCAGGTGTGCAGCCCATGACGGAGGTGTGTAGGCCTCCAAGGACACCATGTGATGCGCCAAGAACCTCTGGGTCGATGCACGCCCCGGATCCTGTTGCCCTCAGGATGTTAGAGGATGTGCTGCCCCCCAGCAAGCTGCAATGATCTAAGACAGCGAGTGAGTTGGGGACGCGCTGTATCTTTTTCGTCTTGACCTTGACACACAGACTGATATTTCGCACCCAATCAAATTTGGAATGGGGGTCCGTGGTCGACACCGGCGTATGCCTCGCGCGAGCCGAAGATATGGCGCTGCCGGGCTTGCGCCGGTTGCACAGCTGCTTCCCGCAAGCGGAATCTGACTGGCGCAGTTGCTTGCCTCGATCGGCGAACCAGAGGGGGTTGGGGGGTGGGAGGGCGGGAGAAGACGATACAGGGGGTCCACCAAAAGCTGTGGGACGAAGTGCATTCGCAAAAAAGCACTTGGTCAGCATCAGCATGTTGGCCGCTCCGTTCACGTCGCGGTTGACGACGTTGACTCTGCAGCCTCTGTTCGTGCACCGCTTGGTGACCCACACGTCCACCAGCTTCTCCACGCCGTTGCGGACCCGCACGTACTGGTGGGCGTGCAGGGTGGCGTGACAGGCGCAACACAGCTTTGATGACCTGTGTTCGTCCACCACCACCACCCTGCACACCCGCCGCAGGCGCCGCAAGAAGCGTATCCAGGGCCCCGGCGGAGTCCCCCGCATGATGCCCCCCCGGTCCTGGGCCGACCAGTTGCCCACGCCCACGACCGTGGTCATGCCCCGGGGGGCGCGTAACTGCTCTGCCAGCCGGTTGATGGCCCGCTCCCTGCCGACGTAGGCCTGGTGGCGCACCTTTCGAAACGGCTTCTCGTGCATGTGCCAGGCCAGGGCCCGTCGCAAGGTGGGGACGATCCACGCGACCCGCGACAGGAGCACCTCTGTGCTCGCTGTCTTATAGGTCGGGCACCTGCGGGAAGATGGGTTTGAGCAAGAGGGTTGGTACGGTTGGAGCGATGCGAGGTGTCGTGACACAGTGCCTGCCCCTGCGAGGCATACCCCTGCATCAACTCCACAACCCAATCACCACTCACTGGTGCAGCTTCTTGACATAGGGTGGGACCTTTGCGTGCCACTTTGCGATGGTCTTCTCCCGCCGCTTGGACCCCGACATGGCGTGGAACTCCTTGGAGGAGCAGGATGTCACGTTGGCGTGTTCGTCCACCGCGGTAAACATCTTGGTCCAGCCCGGGTCGATGCCGACGTACAGGTGTACCTCGGCATCCTCTGGAGGGCGGTTCCGCCTGCAAATTTTGTTGAGGGGTGTGGTAATATGGGGTGAGTTGTGTTGTGGGAGCGCGGCACGTGTGGGAGGTTGGCGGGTGAGTGGGTAGTTGCGTAGGGTGGCGCACTTCGCTGCTGGCAAACAGCACACCCGCAGTCGCTCCCAGAAACAG